TTAAACTGAAATCTACAATTTTACCTAAAAATTCATCTTTTATCTTGCTGTGAAGGATTAATCTTCTAGTAGTGGTACATCTCTGCCCAGTTGTTCCCACACAGGAGAATACTACTGCTCTAATTGCCATTTCTAGATCTGCATCTTGCGCAACTATTTCAAAATACGATTCAAATTCAAGTATTTAAAGTACTAATAATAATAATATAAATATTATGATTGCCCAATTTACTTATCAATGCATTATTGCCTCCTAACTCTAACAAACACTTTCCAAATCGTTCTTGAACCTTAAGAGCCACGTTTCTTCCAACATTAGTGCTTCCAGTAAATGAAACAAGAGGTACACTGAAAATAGAAATGATAATTACAGGATAACAATACGATTTTATTTAGATTCGTGTATTTTTAACCGTACCGCGTATCATTAACAATGGTTTCACCAACATCTGATCCTCCTGTTACTAAACATGCAATAGAGCCTGGTACTCCATTTCGTTCTAATACTCCTGTAATAATTTTTGTAGTTGCAATAGATACTAATGGAGTAGTAAGTGCTCCTTTCCAAACAATCGCATTTCCACAAACCATTGCTATTGCACTGTTCCAACCATATACCTAAGACAATATTATTTCTTTTCTTATTCATACCTATTAGGTTTTATTAAATCTTATCGATCTTTTTTATTATTTCAAATTATACCTACTGCAACAGGAAAATTAAATGCAGAAATGACTCCAATAACACCAAGGGGATTCCATTTTTCTAAAAGTGCATGATTCTTTCTTTCTGATGGAAATATACTGCCAGGTAGCATCCTAGATAAGCCAACAGCATAATCACATATGTCAATATACTCCTGCACTTCTCCAATACCTTCTGGCAATATTTTCCCTGTAAAATTATTCATTGAAATTAAATAAAAAAATTAAAGAACTGAATTTTATAAATAAATAAGATATACCCATTTCTAAAGACACTAATCGTCCTAATGGTTTTAAATTATTTCGAAGTTCCTCTCCAATTTGCCGTACTATTTCGCCTCTTGTTGGTGCTGGTAGTGATGCCCACTGAGGCCAAGCCTTACGAGCTTCTGTAATGGCATTACTTGCCTCTTGAACAGTTGATGTTCGAACTTTTGCTATTACTTTTCCAGTAGCTGGTGAAATTGACTCTATGACCTGTATAAGATTAATAAAACCAATTCTTTGTGTTACTGTTGATAAATAATTTACTTTAATAATAACTTTTCTTTGATTTAGAGCATACTTGCTAAACTACATAATAAATAAATAATTCTTACAGCATAATTAAATAAGAGAAAAAAGAATACCTTGCCAGATCCTCCCCATCGTCCGTCATAAAGACCCGGGTTCTCTGTGGTAAGACCTAATTGTTTCAGAAATCCATATTTTGGATCTGTTACTAAATGTCTAGACATTTGTAACTGAAGAATATATACGCTGTTCCTAGACAATAAACGCAACATTGCCAATTGTTTGCTGCTAACTATTGAACTCTGCAGTGCAGTGAAAAAAGATCGAGGGTTATCAAAATAACCTTGCTTATCAAGAAAAAGAGGAGGGATATGATAAGCTTACAAAAGAACAAATACGTCACGATTCCAGAATTAAATTCAAACTTGCATTGCGTATATTACAAAACAATTACAATGTTGTTTTGATGATAATACATTCATGTTTAAAATTTATAATAAAAGTTTGTTAATGTACACTCGTTTATCTAATCGAAATATACTGCTACAATGATACTTTATGAAATTGATTGAATGAGGAAGTATAAATGCACTAACTAAATTATTTAAAAAAACCCGGTTTATTCCGTAACAATAACGTTAATGACATCACAATGCAACACGGCAGTAGCTTACGCAGAATAAATTTAGAAAACATTTTTTCCTTTTACATTTCACAGTTAAAAATGTTTGATATCCGCCTCGAGGCACGGAAATTCGTTAAAAATGCTTTTCTTTAAATTCCATAATTGGAATTGTATGAACACGTTCACTGTCCAGACCTGTAGCGTAGTTGCCACTCGTAAGTTCATCAAAGCAACAGAACGCTCAGTTTAAATAGTCACATTTTCATCAAGGTATCGAATGTATCATCATTCCTTCATCATAACTGCTTTCTTCAGTTGTAAGATAGCAATTTTTAGAATGTCAATAGAGTGACAAGATTTCTCTGCTCGAGTAAGAAATTTTTGTACTTATATTTTATTTTTGACGGTATTTGTGCATCAAATGTGATGCATGGACGTGGCAGAAAGGAAGACTGTGCATCACATATAATGCACGGGTCAGTGAACGTGTTAAATATGTCATTGTAATCCAGCTTTGTATCAAAATGCATATACTTCAGCCCGGTCGACAAAATTGATAGCATCGTAGATCAGAAATTAGTTGAAGTACTGACCTCGTCAGGGTTGGTTGATCCTATTAATATTTAATAAACTCGATAAAAAAATCATAAATACTAATTAAACTATATAAAATTGTTTGGAGTTTAACTTACAGTAGACTTGTCGAAATTTCCTAGTAATGTAGCTTTTTGCATATCGTCTACACCTTCACAGCTTGCTAAAAATGTTGGCAAAAAATGACCGAAAAACCATGCTATGTTAACTGAAGCTAAACTATGAACAGCAGTTGCAATTTCATCTGCTAATAAATTATGGGATCTGCAAATGAATATTTTAAAAATATTTTACCAGTTTAAGTAATAAGTTGTAATTAACACATTTTGAAACTAACTGTTGAAATAGGACAGTGAATAGTGCCATTAGAAATCTTTCAAGCAAGTGAACTTTGAATATAGCTCGTTGATAAAGTCGCCACCGTATGTTCAATTGTTCAAGACTTTGTAGACTTTGACGAAATATGTTAACATCTGGCTGAAGAAGCGCTTGACCAAATGCTTCTAAAATTGCAACTAATTCTTCTTTATGCTCAACAGATTCTTCTTCTTCAGTATGACCAAGAGTACGCAGTATAGAAGTATTATAAAAATATTGCCATCGATGCATAAGTATACTAAACAAAATTTATATTAACTATAGTTTTACTAATATTTAAAATAAAAAAATACGAGATAATTCATTTATTACTTGTGGAAAAGTTTTAATAAAACAAGTGTTGTATCTGGATGAGCACTAAGATCATTTCCAACAGCAGGCCATACTTGGCCTAAACACAAATTAGTTACTGAAGGAACAAATGCTTTAAATGCACTGCTAGGTGCTGATACGACCAATATTAAAATTTCTAATAATTGATCTAACGCAGGTCCCGCAGATATATTCTCTCTGTAAATGTATAAGATAATTTTATTATTTTCTTTTACTGCAATAACAAATGTTTATAGTAGAAGTTAAATAACTTACCTAGTATATATGTGTAACATTCCTTGAACTGCGTTTTGAGTAAATTCAGGGCCTAATTGTTGCTGTAATACTGAAAATACCGAATGCAAGAAACCAAGTAACACTTCACATACACTTTGACACCTTATCATATATGGCAACAGTTCTAATGTTCGATTAATAGTTAATCCCAAACACGAATGCAACATTTTTTTTATCGTCGTAGATGAGGCGGAACAGTCTTCCAATAACTGAGTTAATGGCACTACTGTCATTAAAATTGTGGATTCTGAAGGAACAGGTTGCCCTTCAGAACCGAGAGGTGTAGATAATGTTGATACCATTGTATCTATTTAAATCAAAATTATGCATTAACGATTATTACATAGTATAAACTTAAATTATTTAAATTAAAACTTTTTTTTATTCCTATACCTAATAATCTTTCTCTGAGAGTTCCATCACCATGTGGTAAAATAATTGCATTCACCAGTGCTCTTCGCAGTACTTTAATTGTATCAGGTTTTAAAAACGGGTACGTTATCATAGAAATTAAATTTCTAAACGTAGGTTCATCCCATAGAATAGGTTTGAGAATAGCGGTGATACTTTGAAAAAGATGTGTAGCGGAATGAGTTAAATTTGCTGGTGGAGGATTATCACAGAATGTTGTATAATCTAATGCTAAGATACATGAATCAATGCATCGTTGACAGAGCGACTCTTTTGTTTTTTCTGGTCTATTAGCTATCCAATGGCACCAAGCTTGGAGCGATGCTAATAACTGTGAATGACTGGTCAGAAAAATATAGCACAAATATAAATTGATTTTGTTAAAAAGTATGTACTAAAAATGCTTCAAATAATAAACATTACTTACACTTCTATGAGATCTATTACAATAGCAGCTGGTTGCAATGATGCTTTATATAACTGGTTAGTTTTAGCAAATTTACATGCATCCAATGTTTGAGATACTACTTCTTCTGCTAATGTCTGATCAATGCTTTGTTCATCTCCTATTATTATTAAAAGCTCATGTTGTAAACAATTATAACCATAATATTATTATGAAAATATTAACTTACCGAGAAAAAGAGAATATAATCTAGCTAAAGCTTGAGTAGTAGAAGCTAAATCTCGTAAGTGTCCATGCACATTTGAAGCCTCGGATTCATTTAACAAAATGACTTGATTATTAGCAATAACGGCACCTAATTCTCCAAACATTATCAGCCCTTCCCTCCAAGAACGATACTAAAGAAGTTCAATACAATTAGCATGTGCATGTGATTGATTGATATGTATAATTGATTAAAATTTTACCAATAGCGTAAAAACTGGTATCGAAGAAATATCTGCCACTTTTGCTAAACATTCTATATTGCATCTTAAGAAATGTTGCCATTCTGTTTCCTCCTATAGTGTAAATACAAATATTGAAATACGTATAAATAGAAAAAATTCAATACAATAAAATTTTTCAACTTTTCTCACATTTTCATCTAAACTTTCTGTATCAAGATCTTTCAGTGTGCGTGTATTAAATTTAAAACTCATTTTCTGTAATACTCTCTCAGCAAGAGCTAGTGCTACTGGAGAATATCGCGATTGAGTACTTTCTAAAAGAGTAGTCCAAACATCTAAACATCTTAAATATCCATTTACTGTTGAGCATTGTTGAAAAGTATGATGGCACAAGACTTCTAGTAATGTATTCACCGGAAATTTAGGGCATGATTCAACCCTTTTTAGATGATTTGTTACAAATAATTGTAAAAATTCGGTTAGCTTTTCCATATAACTAAAATTGTAATAGTTTATTTATAAATGTGTTACTTATCTAGAACTATTTTGTAAGATTAAACAAATAAGTAAATACCTTTCGTTCACAGAATCTAAACGTTCCATAAGTTGAAATAGTGTAACTCCATTTTGAAATATTTCTACTAACAATCTATCAGTTACATCGGGAGAGCACAGTGGTCGATATAAAAGTTCATTTACCGTGGTCACAGCTTGTACAGCCATTTCTATCTGTTTACTATTCTATTAACAAGTTGTATGATTAGTTAGAATATTTTCTGGTTGAACTTTAATATATTATAACATTCAATATAAAATCCTACCATTACATCATATCTTGCACAGGTAAAAATGACATCCAATAAATTCGTCGTGATATGTTCTGATAGTTCAATCCAACTAAATAGGTGTGCTAACACATCCAATGTTGCTATGCACACTTCACTAGTTCCTGTAGCTAGACCTTCTACATCTAAAATACCTCTAACGGGTGCTACAGTTTGACCACTGGTAGGTGAAGGAGGTGGTGTAACAGTTCCAGAACGACTTTGCAATTTTATTGCTTCTTGTAGAAGTACTGTAATAAAAAGACAACAATTATATTTTAATGAAAGTATAAATAATATATTAAATTTTTAAATCTATTAACACTTTTACTTTTTAAAATAAGCGTTTATTGAAAGAATTTTACTTGTAAGAGTATCCAAAGTCAAAGGTACTTGAGCACTAAGAAACCTAAGTAATTCATTCTTCCTTTGTATTGGCAAGTCTTCTCTTGGGGTTGCTAGTTCTTCTGAAGCTGTTCTCAAGTAAATGAGGCCCAACAGTCTTGTATGTTTGTGACTTAACAACTTTGAATATATATAAGAAAATTAAACTTTAGATTAAAGCTATTTAGAAAAATTTAATTATTATATTAGTATATGTACAAACCTGTAAAATATTTGAATAAAAATCTGGATAAAAATGTGGCCAGTCATGCCTTGCAATATCTACAACTAGTTTGACTACTTTGTTTCTTACAAAAGGAGCTACACCTCTTTCTAATGATAAGGTATATAAAGTTGATCTTGTGAGAGCTCTGTCTTCCCAAGGGAGAATTGGCCATCTCCTTCCAATTGTTGTCTATAATATTTGTTATATAATTAGTTTAATCTTTCATATTTACATTTAATAAGAATTTTATTTTTGTTTTCCAACTTTTTTTCAAATTATATAATGCAATTATGTCAGTGCATACCTCTAATGTAGACAAAGCAAACATACTAACATAATGATTATTAGTAGAAGATAAAAAATGTAAACAAGGTCTCCAGGAATTAATTTGCCCTGCAAATTCTTGAAAACTTCTTTCAATTGTATGTTTTCTCTCATTAGTTGTTTCTGGAGAAAAAAATTCAGTCATGAGACGCTCCAAATTCTGTAAAGCAGCTGCATCATTGTCCTGCAAATTTAGTATTTATTTTGCACGTTAATAATGAAAATTTTAGAATAAAATTTTAAAAAAAAACGAAAATAATATGTCATATCATGCAGAGTATTATATGTAATGGAAAGTAATTACTATTATAATTTTATCTTTCTAACCAAAATTCTTTAAATTTTCCTAAAATTTATTTAAAACTTATTTTGATATTAATTAAATGGCATTACTTATTTAATTTTGCTATAAAAGACATTAATTTTCATGTTAAAGATGAGAATATGTCTTAAATATCAATCTAAATTTTATCAATAAAATTTGATGGATCAATGATTACCATTCATATTAAAGTATGTAATGGAAATCTTAAAAATATGTTAATAATTCTTAATAATGCAATGTAACGAAGCTATGTGTTTATTTTTAATAACAAATATTATATCATTTATACTTTGCTTTAAAATCCAGTGACGAAATATCTGCATTTGCTTCTAAAATAATTTGCACTGAATATCATTTAAATAATTATTTAACCATTTTAGCACATATCTATATTTTACAATATAACATTAAGCGCACATTTAAGCACAAATACAAAACAAATAACAATTACTTAACGTACCATGATAGCTACAGTCAAAGAGCGCGTGTTACTATAAATGCTATATATAAATACACAAATCAGACAAGGTTAGACTTTCAGTTGTCAAACGTCATGTTTGAAGTAGCAGAATAATTAAATACTTGATATCTTGGTCGACATGCATCACATGAATCCAATTCCATATATATTTTTGACATATATGTATACAAATGTAAGCCATTATTTCACTGTCAGAAATATAGCCAATCGTAGGAAAGAACGAAAAAATTAATCGTTCTCATTGAAGGATAGTTGTGGGACATTATTTGCACCGCGAAAAGTGAACCAGTTATGACATTACCAAGTCCTGTAGGTCTAACAATTAAATTTTTAAAATCATATCTTTTAATTTTTTTATTTTATTAACAACTTTGAATATTTCACAAATAGATTTTTGTTATTTTTAGTTGTTACTGCAAAAACTGAAATTTTTATATATTATTATTACGTCCCAAACCCTTAAAGGCGGGTACGCAACGAGAAAGGGATCTTATTTCATTTCCGGTCTTCCGGCTTTTAACGTCGCATTCACTAAGTTGCATTGAATTGACGCGGGAAAAAAGAAATATAACAATGCTAATATATAAAATATTGAAGTTTAAAATAAAGTTTAACTATTTCGTTACATCACGTGCTGTTTACGATATTCCTAATGTTTCTTTCTCTTTAATTTAAGTGAAAAAATAAATAGTGTTAGTCTCACGGCGATAAATTATTCACTACAGTAGTGTAATGAATGCTTCGTCGCTAACAACTTTATTAATTATTCAAATTGAATTCGGTGGAAATCTAGAGGAAAAATGAATGTTCTATTCTTAACACACCAATGGACTTTATTACAATTTTAACAAAAGTGCTTAGACGAATAGCGCTACAGATATTCGAATACAAAGTAACTGGAGTCATTACATTTTTCGCACTTTCAGCATCAATCTTTGATAATTTATATCTAAGAGTCTTTAGCGTCGTGATTGGTGGGTTGCCATGTGCGCCGCAGTAGTTACGATAATCGTTGGACTGTAGGAAACGAGTTTACGAACGGTTTTCTAGTTAACCTACGTGGCGACAGAGTTTTTGAACGAATATACCGATGTGCCTGCGTTCCGGTTTCATGGGTCTATCTGATACGATGTAAAACGTTCGTGTTCAATGGAGTACGGTGGTACGACCGATTGTTAAAAGCGTCATTGGAAACGTCGTTTCAATTGTAGTGCAATATTTATGTGTCAATAAAATTTCTAGAAGACGCAGCATACCTGACAAATTTTTAGCTAACGGACGAAACGCATTCATTGAGTAAGTAATTGCATGTAGATTTTAGATCATGGAACGCCCGCGCGTTTCTCAGGTAACCATAAATTAAATCCGAATATTCTTCAAACAATTCTGAGTAAATATTTATGAAAAGTAACAATCTAAATCAATTCTTCTCATATATATGATACATAATGCTAGTAATTATTTGTTACACGTATTTATTCATCCACGCAATTTGAAGTATTTGTAATATGTATTCTAGTGACTTATTCAATAAGTAGTATAATAATTCGAACGAATATTAACACACAAGTGGACATATCAGTTTAATATTTTACTTTTGTTACAAGTATTACAGTTGTTTTTATTTAAACTTATATGTTTATAAACTGTAATGGTTTCTTGTATCAGTTCGAAAATTAAAATTATGAAATGGAAAGTTAATATTAAATGTTACAACTTTTCTTTTGTATGATACAACTAGAAACAGAGCTACCTTATTTTGTACATACAATGTTATTGTATTTGTTTGAGGTTTTAATTTCTTTTTATTATGTATATTCATGATATACTTTGGTTTCATGTTATACTAATATGCATGTGAATGTTACAACGGATATAATTATCAAAGAAAAGAAGCACATCTGCAACAAAAATGAAAATTAGTAATAAATCCGGGTGATAAGATAAACATTGAACATTAAAAGATATAGTTAGTTTATTTTAATCAATAACTAAGAGGCAATATCTGTCAAAAACAGATACATTCATTGAATATTGACATGTGTTTGCCAAAAGTATATATATATAGTATTTGAAATATTTTAGAAGCATATTTATATATTTGAATTATAGCATCGGATAATAAAATCACCACTTTTAATTACATAATACTTTATGAAAATAAATGTGTATAAATGTAAAAATACAAAATTCTTTAATTATTATCCTAGAAATTTAAAAATGCAGATTACCATTAAAGGAATAAAGGAATATATTGTTATAAACAAATATTTAGTGCGTGATAGATTCTCAGAAATGCTA